AGAAGATGCCTCTGGACGTGTCGATTATTCGATCAAAGGATATGAAGATCTTATATGTATAGCCGAGGGAAAACCACGTAATGTTGAAATTGGGTACCTCCAAAATATAAAGCAACTGGAGAGTGCAAGCCATATGAATAAAAGGAAACGAACCGCAGATCAAGCTTTTCAAAATGAAGAAGATTATCTCTACGGGATAGTCTCTACAGGTATAGCAAAGTTAATCTCTCTGATAAAAATTTATATATATATTTCTGGCGTTAGCCTATCTTTGATTGATTATTTTTTTTCTAGCTACGGAATGGCATTTTGTCAAGCTCGCTACGGAAGGGTTATATTGTACCAGCAAAAGTGAATATCGTATTAATTTATCCAAAACGGCATTGAGGGAGGATCTTGAATCGATCAGGAAAGGTGTAAAAACGGTAATTGGAGTGATCGTGGGGTTATTAAGGGATAGGGTATACGAAAATCTAACGAGTAGATGGCCAATTCCGTTTACGTATTTTATTATTTTATCATGTACTTGGCATCCATATATTTTTATTGTAACGATAAAGCAAATATACATATATTTTCCCGAAGTTATTTTTATTTTTAATGCATCTAATTTCCTGAAAAAGTGATCGGCATTACAAATTGTGAAGCACGCGTGATTTTTTATTTTAAAATCAAACATACAATCCGAATTGGATTTGTTAATGCCAGAATTGCAGAATTCGAAGTTGAAAATGTTGAGCTTAAAGATGAAGTACCAAATTAAGACACGATTTTGATAAGCTCAAACCCAAGCCATTCTACTGGAGATATTCCCAAACAAATAGTTGATACCGCCCGGTAATACTGCCGACGTATCTACTTCCAACCTACTTATATAGTCTTATTGAGTAAACGCAAAACTTTTATTTTTATATGTATATATTTTCTAGTGACAGACTTATTATAGAAAAATCTCAAGTGCGTTATTTTTTGTAAGGCATACATGTTATTATTTCTTTGATACACCTTGATATACCAAGATACAAGCATATTGTCAAAAAACAGGTAAAGCGAATGAAAAACCATTCTAATTATATTTATAATTATATGGTATTATATACCTTCATTGGGAAAAGAAACATTGGCTTTATAAATTTTAAATTTGCCGGATTTTCTTGTTTTGAACCCTTTCGAGTGTATTGGTATTTAGTTGCCCCTTCATTCACGAGAATCTAAAGTAGTATTGAGATTAGTGATCCAAAGAAAAATAAATGTATTTGTTATTTTGAAAATGTAGACTGCTTACCTGCATTGTAGCCATCACCTGAAAATAGCTCATAAGTGTCCCCCAAGTTGTTGGATCTTCAGGAAATCTAAATTCTCCCACCAGTATCATTCGATAAAGTCCATCATAACGAAGATCGATAATATAGCATCTTCCAAGGTAACCTAAAATTGTGAAGGCAAAATTCGTAAAGGTTGCATTTCTATGAAAGGAATTGGTCTTACTATACCAACCAAAGACATGCAATCCACAGATAACAAGATCAACACCATTTTCTAACGACTTATCAAATGATGCTCGCATTGTTTTTCCCAAAGTCACTAGATCCTCATTTACTAAATCCGCTCTTGTATTCGGTGGTTTTATTTCCGCAAACATTAATTCAACAAATTTTTTAGGATTGATGGTTCTTATTGTAAAGTCGGGTTTTGAGCCAGAAAGGATAGGATCGAATTGTTTCATTGTCTGAGCAGATGATTTTGATGTCTTGTTTGCCCTAAGCCCATATAAAATATAATGAAGAATAAACAAATATGTTTATACAGACTTCATTTTGGATATGTACCAGTCTATGGTCGTTTTTTTTGCCTTCTGGAAAAAAACGGCTTGATCACAGGGGCAACATAGTTGTGAGAATGTGTATCCTCGTTTTTGTTATTTTTGACAAATGAACTTTGATAACGGTCAACTCTAAAATGTGCAGGACTTGTATTAGGTAGTTTTCTATTATAATATGCAATCTTAGTGACACATACAATTAAAGAGTATATTGTGCATTATTTCTTCGAGCTCTCCATCCGTCTTATGGTTTCTTAGAAAATTCTTAATTTCTGATCGACGTCTTTGTGGGTCTTGTTCTTGAGACGCGATCTGAAAATGTACAATAACTCAAATAATTAAACTGCATATATTCCATTAAAAACTCTACGTTCACTCTCTACCTTCACAATTGTTCCACGCAAATCAAGGACATGTTCTGGAACATTAATATAAGGATATTGTGTACGAATCTCTGAGAAGACACACTTCCATGATTCATCATCAAAATATTCATGAAGTCCTTGCGGATTCTCTTCTTGGAAAAGAAATATATGATTTAGGGCCCATGGATGAAATAAGTTAATCATGAATGCTTCAACTATCCAAAAACAAACAATACGTACAGTTCTTCATCGTTACTTAAGATCTCCTTTGACTTGCATTTCTGTATTACAGAAGTACGGAATTCCACACAAATTTTAGAAATATCTACTTCACCAATAATCCACTGTTAAGAGATAATACAGAGTTAAATTTACATTAATATATTACATAGTCTATAAAACATTTTTATTATTTACCACGGTAGAATCTTCCTTTATTTTCCAATCAATTTCACCCGGTCCTATGAAATAATCAAGATAAAATGACCTCTTTGCTTTTATGGAACCTTCAGAATCAGAAGGAGAATCATAGGTTTGATCTGAGGTTGAACTTCTGCTCATAATTTCGCTTTCTACTAATGTTGTTGAGATGTTTGACTCAGATGATCGGATCTTATATGACTTTGGTTCACAAGACGTTTCTGATGTTTCGTCCTCCGTTTCATACTTCCTTTTTAATTCTGCGGTTCTTTTTTTGAATGATTCAGTGTCTGGAAATTACAAGACTTTATTAACAGCTCACTGCCATTATTTTCAAGTGATCTTTCAAGACGTTTCTATAAAATTATAGGATAATATGGTTAATATTTACAATGGATTTGATGAACCTGCGTCGTGCAGAAGCCATAGATTATTTACCTCACTAAACTCTCTATCTAACTCTTCAAAAAATTTAGAAATCTCTTTTGTTTGGAAGACCGCTTTGGCACTATCATGAATTTTTTTTGGCCTTTTTTTTTTCCCTATTTGTACCAGATTCACCAATTCTCTTAAAGACTTTAACAAATGCATCTAAGATATCTTGTTTGCTGTATGAAGTAAATTGAAATTCTGCATAATCTTTCAGGTACCGGAGACAGTTTAGGAAATTCCAGTCTTTACAATCAGCGTCACTTGCAAATGTTGAAACATATCGACTAAAGTTCATATCTAAAAAAAAAAACGTTTTATGAATAATTTGGAAGATAATTGCAATGAAAGCAAAAAATTACTGAAATTTTCCAAGGACAATAGCATTCAACAATATAGTATACTGGAGAAGAGGTTCAGGGAGGCCACCCTGCCACAATGCTCTTCTCCAAGCATCGGCCACAGGGCAGAGACCATATGGACGTAGGATACCACTGGCGCTACAGTGTCAATATGAGATTACTTAACTTAATAAAGAATTTTTTCGCATAATACGACAGGAAAATTATTGAGCAGTAAGAATGTGATCTCACGTGAAAAACCACATGTGGAGAATGATGAACGACTTGCTTTGTTGATCAGATCCACAAAGACATCTATATCGTATACTTTATCATGTGTTTTATTATATATTTTATTTTTTACCACATCAATGAAGCTGACCTTGGTGGCTGATTTCGCATATACAGTATAATCGTGTTTATTTTTTCATGTATATTTGATTGCGATATTAATATTTTTCTTGGCAAAAGTGATCGGTGTGAAGAATCTTCACGCCCTCAATATATTTTTTATCCGCTAATGATTAATTAAATATATCCGTATTTTATATAAAATAGTAAACAAACAATCCAAAGTTGATTCATTAGAAGAACAAATTTCCAAGCTAGTAGCTGAGAATACTGAAATCAAAAAGAAGTATGCTGAAATTGAGACTGAGAATATCGAAGTTAAAAAGAAATATACTGAAATTGTGGCTGAGTGCATAAAGTTGAGACAGATCATCAAAGATAGTTCTAGTATGCGAAACTCAAAAAAGATACTACCAACCTCAAGGCTGGAAATGTCGAACTTAAAGCTAGAGTTGAGAAATTGGAACAGAAGCAGTTGCAAAATGATGAAGAAAAAAACAACTATATAGTATTACGAAGTAATGATACTACCGCATCTAAACCAGATGATGATATCAGGGAAATCAAGCAATCTTCATTTAATAAATCCTCTACTGAAACGGAAAATCCCAACGTTACTCCTGAAAAGACAGTTTCACAAAATAAGAATGTTCCGGAATCTGATATTTTTAACGACACTTCAAATTCTGATGAATCCAATAATGCTTTTTTGGAATTATCTGGGATATTAGTACCATTGGAAAGCAATAAGTCTCAATGTTCTACATCGCCTTTATACACAGAGTCTAAATCATTAGAGGATAAGGAAATTTTTGATTTTCTGGTTCGGGTAGATAAAGAAAAGGTTAAAAATATGATAAAGAAAAATAAGGGAAAAGAAACTATTAGGAAACAATGAAGATCAGAATGCTTCGGGAGAACCTATTAAACAGACACAAAGTACCATTTCTTCCGAAATAAAAATTCCCTATAATAAAAAGGTTGAACAAGGTTTAATATGTGAGTTATCTACATTAATTAACGAGAAAGGCCAGGCCTTTCAAATTCCATATCTGATAAACAAATTCTTGAAAATACAGTGCATTAAGAAAGTCTTTGGACAAATTTTTGTATCACAAAGTTAATCAATGTAACTTTTCTATTTTTAGTTAGAATTTTATCAAATAAAATGATTATTAAAGTGATCTGATTTTTTTTGTAATACAATGTCTTGTGTCACCCTAGTTTTTTTTTTTATCAATCAGCAAAATGGGAGCTTATATTGATGTACATGCAAAAGCAATACAGCAACAATGGGATAAAGGAATACGAACCACTAGAGAAATACACAAAAATATGGGTCTGCCGAGATCTACGATATGCTATAACCTAATTAAACTAAAAAAAAAATGGAAATGTAACCCATCGAAAGTGCAGTGGCCGCCTTTCAAAAATCTCTTCCGAATATTCAAAGCTATTAATAAGGCGAATAAAAAAAAAATCCTTCGATATCAACAAAAGCATTAAGTATTATGCTACTAAAAAAGGAATTCGAGTATCTCACGTTACTATTTGGAAACATCTAAACTAGCTTGGCTATACAAAAAGTCATGCCGAGGCAACAATAATGCTCACAGAAGTACAAATGCAAAAGCGTGTGGAATAGGCGGAAAAATATCTCAATTACAATTGAAATCGAACGGTTTTTTCTGATGAAACAGCCTTCCAATTGTTCAGGAACACCGTAAAATATTGGCATAAAAATAAATGGCTGATACGACGAATTCCAAAAATAAAAAAAAAATCTTTACTTGAGGTGGGTTTTGGAAGAATGGTAAAACTAATCTTTTTGTTTTGAGAATATAATGACAGGTCCGTTTTATGTGGAAATTTTGAATAATTAGTTTCCCGGAATTAGAAAAACACTTGGAAGTCGTTGGGTATTTCAGCATGACAATGATCCCAAGTATACAAGCTGCGTAGTGAAAGAATTTTAAAAAAAAGAAGTTTCCGAAGTCATGGTTTGGCCTTCAAACAGCCCGATCTAAATCCTATAGAAAATTTATGGAATCTCATTAAAAATAATGTTGAAAAACGGTGGCCAAAAAATCTGGATGAATTAAAACAATATATGGTGGAGGAATGGGATAAAATCTCTAACAGTACTTTAGCGAATTTGATAAACTCAATGAACGACCGTTGTAGACTTGTAATAAATAAGAATGGTGATTATATTTCGTATTAAAATTATCACAATAAATTTTAAACTTTTTAGCTTTCTAATAAGCTATTATACACATGATTTGATTCATTCATTACGAAGTTATTGTCATGTGAAGTTGTCCAAAGACTTTCTTAATGCACTGTATGTTAGATAGAGATGATTCAACTCCGGGTTCTGCATCACATTTGGCCCATTTGTTCGACAAGGCTAAAAAAACTAGCCAGGTCAAAATATTAACCAGATTTAAGCAGAACAAGGTGATACAACAACATATAGAAAAAAGACAACTATGGTTGCAAGACAACAAAAAGATAATAATAAACAGCATCCTGGAGAGATCCAACAGATCTATAGTAATGGATAAACTCATCGTGGATGAAGGAGAACATATAGAAATAACTACAGACTCAGAAAAAATAAAAAGGAAAGCTGCAGAACATATTACAACATGACCCATCACAGAAGAATTACACCAATTACCAATTTCCCTAGGTGGACAAGGCAATATGCACCAAAAAAGGAGATCCTAGACAGCTGGTATGATAAACTAATAGAACAGATTACTACATAGGAACTAGAAAAGGCAATAAAGAATAAAAGCTCCAAGTCAGCACCAAGCCTTGACAACATATCATATCTGGCTTACAAACACCTTGGATTGAATGCATTAACCTGACTGACAAACCTGTTTAACAGAATCTTATCACAAGAAGAGACACCGAGAGAATGGAGTACAAGATACGTATATCCCATACCAAAACCCACAGATTGGAACAACAGGATTGGTATTACTAGACCCATCACATTGTTAATTGCAAGGAGAAAGATCTTTACAAAAATTATCAGTGACTATCTGGCACGAATCTGCAAAGAACATAACATCCTTAGTGAACTTAACTGGACAGTACTCCCTGATAGCAGTACACAAGCTCCCATACACATAATTAATCTTTGCATTGAACATGCATACAGGAAAAAAAAGAAACTCTGGATCCTGAGCCAAGACATGGCAAAAACATATGATTCAGTCAACAGAGAGATGCTAGTATAGGCCATGAAACGTATAAAAATACCACAAAAGATAATAAACATCATATAAGCTCTGTTTAGGGAAAGAGAAAACAGTCATCACCACATATGGTCTGAGCCTATATTACAAGGTATTAGATGGTATCAACCATTATTTCTTCCCTTCTGTGACACATATTTTATGACCCCCTCCTGGCAGAAATCGAATCATCAAGGGCAGGATACAGATACTCAACCAAACTCAAAGAGGACATTGACTCACAATATAGAGAATACCACTTGGACATCAAAGCCAGTGCATACATAGATAACATTACATAACTAGCAGACAATCCAAAGTAAATGCAAACAGTTCTAGACACAGCCATAGAATTTAAAATATTAAGACATCAATATTAATTCAGCAAAATTACAACTAATTATAATCAATGGACAATTAGCAGACTTCGATATAGCTTCACTTTTAAAGGTGAACTATCTAAGATAGCAAACCAGACACACTAATGAGGATGCTAGGAGTATGGCTGGTTAGTTTAGGAAAGAAATATTATCAAAAGCAACTTATCACTGAAAAAGTAAAGAAAATATGCAAACTGATAGGATGGAAAGCAATGATTGATAAACAGATGAGATACATCATAAATCACATTTTCATGCTAAGCATAGAATATCTACTAAATGACATGATACTGTCTAAAAGCATATGCAACCTTTTAATAGGAAAGATTGCAATAAAATATAAACACAAGTGTGAACTCACCAAAATCTTTCCTAATACCCTCTTATACAATTATGTAAAATATAACATAAATCTTATTTGAGATAGACAAATGCAACTGCACACAAGGAACTGGATAGAAAGAAAGAAAAACAAGTGCATACAAGGACAGATATCCAGGATAGGACTTCAAAACCTACAGAACCTATTCTGGTCAACTAATATCGTAAAAACATATCTTATCTAACCCTTTCTTAAAGCATACAGAATTTAGACCATAACATCTTATGGACCCTGAGGAAATAAGTTTTTAGTTTTAACTCAACCCCAGGTTCATGATTCCTCAAAGAATAAGGAAGATAGATGATATAATAGAAGAGATAATTTTAGAATCCACATACAATCAATACAGACATATATTATAGAGATACAATACAATATTCATCAAATAGGTAACTAATTTCACTGGCATAAGAATACTACATTAGAGGGAACTGAATACCATAAAAAGAGCAAGAAAAAGAAGCAGTTTAAAATGGTATAAGAACTTCGTAGCAAGGCTTACAAGCTCAACCAGAGTACAAGATTGGATGGAAGATAAAACTCACAACTATCAAACATTCAATTAAGATAGATTCATGACAAAGACCGATATCCCCAGACCATACTGAAGGGCTAAACTCAAACAAAACATAACAGTTATGGGCAAGATTAAATGTAATGACAGTATTAACACAGTAGTCTACACATACTATACTAGGATAGAAGATTAATTACCACTAAAAAGATACAAAGGATGCAATCTAAATAAAGAATATAATACATTATCAGGATTATGCACATTTGTAACTAAAAAGCAACACACAATTTAGATTCCAATAAAACAATCAAGTATCTCAACCAAGGAAAATAAGGATAAGATTACAACAACACTTTATTGCAGAATTACCCAAAGTCTATCACCAAAAAACTAAAGGACCTTACCGACCTTCCATAAACTGATAATCTTTACATATAGCTCAATATCAACAATAACAACTGAGGAATAATCAACCATAGCAAGATTTTTGACCTTGATAAAATAGAACTGGACATCTTAATTATGATACAAAAATAGATGAGAGCATATAGACTGGCCATAATCTATATAAATAGATTGGTATCAAGTCATGGAAATAGACCATATATAGAGTTTGGCCGAATCATTAAAGATGAGACAGGAAAAGAATACTCCTTCCAAGGACAGACACAACTCTATGAATTATCAACCAGTGCAGAATTTATGGTCATAACAATGATAATAAGTATTCTCAACAAGAATATAATAATCCACTTATATACAGACAATCAAACTGCGATAACAAACCTGATAGAAATCATGGATCATACAAGGCTTATGAAAACAAAGAAACCCAACTGTGCAATAATCAATACTTTTAATTATATTAGGTAACAATAGGATCTATTCATAATATTATATAAAGAAAAGGCACATACTAGTATTTCCCTCAATGAAGAAGTAGATAGGCTAGCCAGAATCAATTCCATCTTACAATATATGAAACTCAATTAGAAGATAATAAATATAAAGGAACAATACCAGAGCTCCTCCTAGTGGAGATAACCTGGGATATTACAATAATAGACATTCCAGAGAAGATATTAGTAAAACAAGTCAATAAGGCTATTAGACTAATCA